TCACAGGGGTCACAGACTCTGTTTCTGTGCACAGAACATGCACAGGACACAACCTGCTGACGGTGAGCTCACTGAATGGTCCTCTTGAGACACAGATGCACAGGCCATGCAGTCGGCAGATAAAACCTAAGCAAGCTTCCCAGCAACATGGATGACAACAGCAACCAATCACTAAGTGATGACAGGGACTATCACAGGACCAGCACCGTGAGGTCAGTGCAGGGAACACACTGAGTCGTTAGGTATGAGAACAACTTCAGTGCTTCCTCCTATCTTAGCTTTGAGGGAAGTTTCCAACTGGGAAGACTATTCCTCCACAAGAGACCAATCAGTGCAGACAGTACGTAAGAAGGCAATGATGAAGATTTTATGTTTAAAGTACAATTACTGTACCTAAGGTTTCTGAAAGAAAGATGGGCCAGGTCCTTTTAAGAACAAGTATAAAGAAATATTTTGTGTGTGATGGCTTAGTGGAAAAAAAATAAACACTAATTCTGTTTAAAATTTTGTTTTTTTATTTTAACTTCTCAATATACACTGTACTTCACATTCATGACCCCCTTTGACCATAATTCTGTTTAAAATTTTGACAGAATCATTACATGAAAGTGAAATGGGAACAAAACTCAGCTAAAGGAAATGGGAAATACAAAAGAAACATCATAAAATCATCTCGGGTTGGGCCGGCCCGGTGGCGCACTGGAGAGTGTGCCGCTTGGGAGTGCGGCGGCGCTCCCGCCGAGGGTTCGGATCCCATGTGGAGACCAGTTCCCGCTCACTGGCTGAGCGCAGTGCGGGCGCAACACCGAGGGTTGTGATCCCGTTGCCGGTCCCCGGTACGGGTAGGACACCGAGGGTTGTGATCCCGTTAACAGTCAGTAAAAAAGACAAAAAGGAATAAAAAAATAAATAAATAAATAAAATATAAATAAATAAATAAATAAAATAAAATAAAATAAAATAAAATCATCTCTGGGAAGACACGGTGGGCTGCAAAGACCTACCCATGCAGAATTATAGAGCACCTACTGAACTCAAGGGACTACACTAAGTGCTGGATAAGAATTCTGGTCAGTGCACTTCTAAGAGTTATATTCTTTTTCTTTTTTTTTTCCTTTTTGTCTTTTTCCGTGTCCGGCAACGGATCGCAACCTTCAGTGTCGCGCCCGTACCGGTAAGGGACCAGCAACGGGATCGCAACCCTCGGTGTTGCTTCCGCACCTCGCTCAGCCATTGAGCGGGAACCGGTCTGTATGTGGGATCTGAACCCTCGGCGGGAGCGCCACCGCACTACCAAGCGGCGCACTGTAGCAGTGCGCCACCGGGCCGGCCCTAGGAGTTATATTCTGTTAAAGGAGACAGAAATACAAGTAAATAAATAACCATATAATGGTAAGTTGTGAACAATTCTGTGTAAGAAACAAGCAGGGGTTCCAAGACAGATCAGAGGGTCAGAGAAAGCCCCTGAAAATGAGGAAAAAAAATGGAACTTCAAAACTGAGCCCAAGTGTTCCCCAATGGGGAACAATACATACAAACTCCCTGAAGCAACTTCCAAGAAGTTAAAAAAAATAAAAGACAAAGAAAGGAAGAGGGACACAAAATGAGGTAGGAAAGTTAACAGGGGCCAGATCCTATGTGGCTTTTTATGGGCCAGGGTATGAACTGTGGATTTTATCCAAAGTAAAATAAAAATCCACTATGGGTCATTAAGCAGGAAAGTGATATCGTCTGATTTTGAAAATCAGTCTGGCGGCTATATAGAGAACAGAACAACAGACAGAAGCACAGGAGAAGGGAGGTTGGAGCCAGGCTAAACAATCAGCCCACTTCCCACATTCCTGCGTGGAGCAGAAACAGAAAACATGGGTGCATTGAGTGTCAACGGCTTGTGCCAGGGCAAGTATGAGATCATGCTGCAAGTCTGTCACATACCAAGTTTCACCTCTGCATTCTCGGTCAGCAGTACATTCTGGCCCTTGATATTCCAGTGACTCACATGATGAATGTGAGGATGTGCCAGTCCCTGAGCAGGAAAGACAGATATAAATCTTAGTTCTTTGTTGCCGTAAGGGTAAACAGCCAGGAACACACCTTTTATAACAGAGTGGAGACACGGGCCAAAAGTTTCTGTGAATTCACATTAAAAACATAAAATTTACTCTTAGTGCATTCCCAGCGAGACACCACCAATATTAACCACGCACATGAAAGAAGCCCCCCCACCCCAACTCCCCACCATTACAACAGGGTTAGGTTCCCCTTGTGAGCAACATTACCACTTTCTAGCTGTGCCTTGTGACACTTTAGATGACCATCTGCAGTTTCTCACAGGGTGGTTCCATTCCAACGCTAAACATCTATCTTTCAGTGGGTGACCCCGTGGGCATATTTGAACTAGACACATCTCAGGGGGAAAGCAAAGGCCTAGAGAGGGGTTTAAAATCTGCCTCTGCAACACTGGCTAGTCTTCCCACTGCACAGCGACAAACTGCTAAGTGCTGAACAATACCGCCTCCACCGTAGCGTAAAAGGATTCCGCTGTCAAAAGAGCCTTGTGTTCAAATAAACTATCTTTCTTTCCCAAGGAAACAAACCCTACTGGGCATATAGCACGTTTTGATGACCTTCTATCTGGAATGAAGCCCAAGAGCCTGTCTTTCCTGAGAGGTGGTGGAAGAACAAAAACAAAGGTTGCATCCAAATATGGTCCAAAAGACAGCAATTCATCACATTCACAAGTCATTTACTTCTTCTATTCTTAGCTAGAGAAGCCAAATCTATAGCGTGCCTCCTTAAGGCACAGCAATCTGCTTACTCTGAAATGTCTCAATCCAAAAAGAGCAGATTAGAAGGAAGGGTTTATTTGATTTTCCTGCTTAACTTTTCTTGTGGAGTTTTACTGTTGTTATCTTTACTTTGTAGGATATGAATTAAATACAGTAGCTGCTCTACAACACTAATTTTTCTAACACAGGGGGTTTCTGATATTCATTTANAACTTAGCAATCCAGACTGAGCACATCTGGGGGGCACACATTTAATTATTCAACAAGTGAGCAAACTAGCATTTTGGAACACAGAAGAGAGACCTGTGCTCTCTGAGTCTGCGGGGCTGTGATGGGCCTTGTCCTGCCTGCCCATCTACTCCTGCTGTAGCACTGCAGATGCTCACAGCTGACCGCTCCCAGCAGGGCCACTGTGGCCACTCTGCCACAGCCTCCAGGCCTGCTTCCTCCCTCACATGGCTGTTTAAGGATTCCCTGTGGCTCTTCTACCACTCAGACACAGACCGTGAGACTTAGCGTGGTGCTTGCATGAGGGCTGCCGCGGACATGCAGAGGAGCAGCAACGTGGGGTTGAAGACTTGGTGTTACCTTCTGGGCATGCAGCACACACCTGCCTCCCTGTTCCCGGGCACTCGCCCCTCGGCTCCTGTTAACATGAAAACAGGTGGTGATGTAGACACAGCATNAATTATCACTGGGTGTTGGCCCAGGCTAGAAGGAAAGGCTTTAAAAGAATAATGAACTCACGCTTATGTGGATGGATAGGATTGATAATCCAGAAAGTAATACAAAAACCTGCACAACAATACAACCAAGAGAGCTTACAAGATGCTTTTACATGTATTATGCCACCTTCTCAAAACCCTCTAGAGTAGCTGCTATATCCCATTAGAAAGATAAGCACAGAGGGTTACATTAATCACCCAATGCAGGAATCTAGAGAAAGGCCAGTCACAAACTGGAGACGTGTGGCACTTAAAAAGCTGACGAAGGATTCACATCTAGAATACAAAATAATGCCTATAAATCAAGCAGGGAGATAACCCAATAGAAAAAGAGGCAAGTCACTGGAACAGGCACTTCACAAAAGAAGTGATNGAGAAAACAGTCTGGCTCCCAGTGGAAAGAAGGCTCAGTGGGATGCACCCTCTCTAAGATATGCCCAGTACTGACGGTGCTCTGGTGTCCTCTGGTCCAGAGGTGGACTCACCAGCCCCTCCCTGTTCCACGTCTTCGTCCTCCTCATCTGTGGTCCCCGACTCCTCACTGGACGAGGAGTAATCTGTCACTTTGTGAGGTGGCCGCATATCTTCCACTGCTCGAAGCTTTTTGGCCAGTTCAGTCAAATCCTAATGCACGAATAGAGAAAAGAGAGTAAGGCAAAAAAGGAAAAAAGGAAGATGGGAAGGAAACAGGAAAGAATGACGAGTTCTTTATTTTAACTATCAACAAATAGCCACAATGTCAGTCTTATAAAACGGTTTGGTAGAGTATTTTCAAGTTTCATAGGAAGGTCAGCTTTTGATAGAAAAGACCAAAAAAGTAAAAAATGTTGTTTATAGATCAAATCCCATAACAATAAAAAATGTAACAGTCTGCTTATGATCAGCATTTTTTTTAAATGTAAGGTAAAATTCTAGATCAACAATTGTATACAGACAGATGCTTGGGCTTTGTTGGAAAGACACCTGTCTATATGACAAAGTCTTCTTTTAAGGGAACTATGGAGAAAGCAAGCTTCTAGCTAAATATGCCTAATTTAAAGTATTTATTTTTTCTCAAACTTTCATTAGAAATTTCAAACCTACAGAAAAGAGAAAGAAAGTGAAGCTAGCACCAGTTTACCTCTTACATCTCGCCTCACCAATTGTGCACAACCTGCCGTATGCATAAAAAAAGGTTCATGACATATAAAGAAAGTGGTGACCCCGTGTATGCTGCGGGCAGAAGGCAAGGTGGGCTTCCCTCCCGCTCCCTTTGAGCCTTATCCACATGTC